ACTAGTATTTAAGGAACTCAGTAATTATATTTCTTAAGCAAGTTATTTTGTCCTTTTTTCATCTGGTCAGTATAGACATTCTTGTATATTTTATTGATACATTATATTGCACGTACATAGAAATACCTATATAATGGTATTAGTAGGACCACAAAAAGATTAAGGACCTTAGTAAGGTTAATTTAGCCATGTTTTACAACCAGCATGTTGTAATACTTGGAAAGCAATGTACAGGGATGGATTAAGGTATGCCTGTAAAACAGAGTGGAAAACGCTGTAGTGTGATGAAGGTGCTCAGCACTGATACAAGGTGTGACTGTGTCTGAGAGCAGGAGATCCTGGCCCTGGGCTCGTCCCAGCTCTAGTGCAGGCAGTGCAGCATCCCATGGCTCAGCATGGCTCAGTGGCTTGAAAGCACCACTGCCTTCTCACATGGTGAAGCACTAGTGGGCAACTTTCAAGTGAGGCAATCTTGAAAACACTTCTGAAATTATTACCTGGAATCTTGCAGTGGGAACAATCCTGGACTACAACAGAAAAATCCCTTGCTGGCACAGATGTTGTCTTATTATGGGAAAATGTGGACAAAGTTATCTGTTAATTTTCATTCTGTGTCTTTTTATTGATATATACTGTGATAATTGTTTGCTGGGTGAAGTTGCCACAAAAGAGAGCTTAAAAAAGAAATACAAGCCTAAGGAGACCTCATTACAGTGCAACAGCAAAACTAAATAATGCAAGGGACATGACCTTGATAAAAAGAACTTTAATACAAAACATGTTGTAATAATATTAAGGTTGAAGGTTTCAGCACATTAAAACTATAGTTATTAGACCAAGAAGGCCCTTGCACCTTTACCTCAGTTTGCTTGCTCAGACATTACTCTTCTTCCACAGATGGTTTGATATAATTGCACCTACTGAAAAAAAATAGGTATTTGTATTGATTTTGAAGATACTATAAAGAGATGCCTATCACATGCCCTAATGTCTTCTTTTATATATATATATTACATATAACAAAGATTAAATTAGGTAGCTGCTTCCGCCCATCAAACAGAATAACTGAACCTTTTCCCAAATGAGGTCTCTAATTCCTGATAGACATTGTCCAGACTACTAAATGGTGCATACATGAAGATATGGCTATCTTAGCACTTGCAGTGCTGTGATTTGTCAGTGAATGCATTCTAACAGTATAGGCTCCTGAAAGGAGATGTGTGTGTGTGTAAATGAAGACAGAAAAAGAGCTAAAGGAAGGTACAGCATTCAGAACTTAATTTCTTTCCATATTATTATAATTTGTAGTAATGTAGGAGTACTTCAGATGGGTTTTCTCATTGTCATCTTGAATATGTTTGGAAGGGAATGAAAAAATAATTTTGTTTCAGAAATGATTGGCTTTCCTGTGAGTTATGGTGTCTCTTTTGGCAATTCCTTTTGTACTGTTGGGAAGGACAGCTGAGAGACACGAAGGCAAGACTGTGGCAGCCATTCAAACGTACAGGATATCTCTCCGAGTCATGTACTCTGGCAAGACAAGAGTTGAGAGAAGGCATGTTGCTTTCAGCTAGGACAGCATAAAAATACATACCTTTGAGTCTGAAGTTTGGGAGCACGAACATCCTACATTTTAATAGTGATAGGAAAAAATTACAAACAGGTTGAGGTAATGCCATATAAATACAGTACTGAATATGGTTTATGTAAAGAAATAGCTCAAGTCTGGTAGACCTTCATGGGTTTAATTTCTTTATTATGTGAAGCACCTTGCATGGAAAAAAAACCCCAGCAGCCTTGGTTTAAATCTGCATTATTATTGTATATTGTGTTATTCTATAAATCTTTTTAAAATATAGGTGTACTGTATTTTCCATGAAACACTGAATATGGTGGTTAGATTTGCTTTATCTAATTAGCCTTAATTTTCTGTCCTCAAACCTCGAACTGTCATCGGCACTTGTCCAAGTTTTATGAAAACCCATATAATGCCTTCAGTTAGCAGGAAAACTGCATTAGTAGTGAGTGCATTGCAGAGATACAAACACCAAGTTCTCTTCTTGTAGGGTGATTTGACTCAATGTTACTTTCTTTTAAAAGGTGATTAAAGAAAGTGGACCTCCTCACATGAAGAGCTTTGTTACACGAGTTACAGTAGGAGAATTCACTGCAGAAGGAGAAGGCAACAGTAAGAAACTCTCAAAGAAACGTGCCGCGATGGCTGTCCTCCAAGAACTTAAGAAACTTCCTCCTCTTCCTGTGATTGAAAAGCCAAAACTTTACTTTAAAAAGCGTCCAAAAACAATATTGAAGGTATGTGTCCAACTTCGCCAGAATTAAGAATGTTTGCTCAAAAAGTAAGAGAGTCAGATTTGAAATCAATAACGGCTAATTTGCCATTTTCTGTCAATATTGTTACTTGTTTGCCTGTGCTAATATTCTGAGAATGCAGTGGAATTCTCAAACATAGTGGCTTATATAGAGCTCACATCACTGATGTCTTCAAGGATTTGGTTCAAGTCTAGTGGAGGATAAAGCCCTCCAAGCATCTCTGTACAGCCATGTGAAGTTTAGCATCATCTCCTACAGGAGGTCCTAGTAGCATATGTGGTGGTTCTCTGCCTGGGCTTTCCCCCCTCCCCAGTTTGAAGAGGAAGAGAGATTCATGAAATAGTAGATACATGGGGTACTACTTTAGTGCTTCAGTACTAAAACTATGACAAGAAGAAATCTGTATACTCATTATACCAGGTACAGTTTTGAAGGAGCAGCCATTAGAAAAGCCCTTTAAAATAAGCAAATAGTTTGGAGAATGCAAAGCTGGGTTTGGAAGATATACAAAGGACTTATTTATCACCTTCCTCTTTTCTTTTGCTGTCAAAACAGAATGACTGATTTTTCAAGAAAACCTAGGTTAATTAGATACCTGTCTCCTACTAAAATTCTGGAGATCTGATTCTCAAAAACTTCTAGGAAAAAATGGGCAGGGAAAATATTTAATGGAAAACCATCAGCATTAATGCAGCTTTAAAGCTCGAAGATCTGAAAAGGCTTTTGGCTTTGGCTTTCTCATTTTGGAAAGATTTTCTCAAGAAAGTTGCAAAGTGTATAATGAGGTAAAAGTCTCTTACATTACTAAATACCATTTACCATCACAAACTTAAATATAATTACCCAAAGTTGAGCTTGTTAGAAAGAGACATTAATTGTCAAAATAAGCTGGATATGTAGGACATTTTTTTTAATATCCAAACTTCTGAAATGCTTTCAGTGTGCCCATTTCTTTCAATTTAACCTGCACATGTTTTGAGCATCAAAACATCAGCAATATCTTCTTTTTATTTGTATATATATTTATGAGGCTGTGTCTTATGGCCTGCTCTTTATTTATATGAGGCTGTGTCTTATGGCCTGCTCTGCATTTTGCCTGCTCTGCATTTTGCCTCTGCCTGGCTTCTTGCCCACACAGCTGCCCTTGTGCATGACATTGTCTTTAACTTTCACCTACATCTTCTCTAACTACTTCAGCAGTTACACTACGTAGGGTTGGCTGCACAGCTTTCTAAATACAATATCCCTCTCTGGTCTTTGCTTTCAGTTGCTGATAATTTCTTTAAGTTCTGTACCATTTATTTGTTATTCAGGAGGCTCAAGCAATCATGAGGGCTCATCTTCTAACCTAAAAACAAGTCTATACTCAAATGCCATTTACATTTGCCAGTTCATTCTTTGTGTTATGGTACATAAATCAGTTAAATGTGACTTCAGATAACCTTTTTTGGATCTAAGTTTTTTCTTACAGACAAATATTTTCATAGCTATTTGCTTTGAGACAGTATTTGCCATGTGAGCAGTAACTCATTAAAAGAATTTCAGAAATAGATGTCTTGTAAGGACTGTAGTTTTTCACTTGTCTGTGTAATCTTGGACAGATCAGTTCATCAGTCCTTTTCTTTTCCCCCCATGAGATCAATTCCTCCACCAACCACACATTTTGACACATTATTGTGAGCATTATTGTCTGTTAAGCATTTGAAATACTTTGCAGGTGGCTCACAACATGCAACATTTCAAGCCATTCACTTCATTAAAGTATTTTGGGGGTAGATTCATGTCACACACAGACTAAACCCTCTGCACCTTTAGTTGCATTGTAGGATGGAAGGGAGGAGTGTTGAGAAGTGAAGCAGGAAGGCTGAGAGAGGCAGCTTCCTTATTATATATGGCAAATCTTTTTTTGTGCTTGTGTAAATCTCATCTCTTCTTAGTGTAATGCATGTTCCACCAACTTATTTTAAGGGGTTAGAGGGAAAGGTCCTAGGAGTAGGGCAATAAGGTATAATTGACTGATGAATCTGCTCATTTTCATCCATCCTTGTAAAGACCTTCATGGATAGGTGAGGGTATTAGGAGTTTGCAGATGCTAGGTAGGCACACTGCCTCCAAGAGCAGCAGTCAATTTTTTACCACAGCTTTGAGCTTGAGGATTCTTATCTTTTGTCTCATGACCAGAAAGTGGGAAGTAATTTACTTCTTATTCTCTTAAAGGGAGTATTAAAAAAGAGATAACCCTGGTAAATGTTTTATTGAAGTATCATAATAGCTTTATGGATATATACTGAAATAATGATTCTTTCTTTTAAACCTGTTTTAGACAGGACCAGAATATGGCCAAGGAATGAATCCCATCAGTCGTTTGGCTCAGATCCAACAGGCCAAAAAGGAGAAGGAGCCTGAGTATGTTCTTCTGTCAGAGAGAGGAATGCCTCGCCGTCGGGAGTTTGTTATGCAGGTATCATTTGCTGTCACATTAGAGCTAATGTCCTTGCTATGTTTTGTTCAAACTCAAGCAGAATGGTGGTGTAATATGAATTGTATCCTCCTGTGTTTGTCTCTTTGCTTTACAGTCAGTTATGCAAGAATGGTTGAAATACACCATCAGTATCATTCTTCTTTCTCTTGGTGAAAAAAATGGCAATTTAGTTATGTGCCATCTAGGCACTTTTCTTTTAGTGCTTTTGCATTTTTTTATACTCTTCTTATTTTTATTTGGCCTATTTGTTTCTGTCTCTATCCCAGACGGTTCATGATTTATTTACTTCTGCTTTCCTTTTGAAAAAAAATAAATTGACTGGTGTTGATAAGAGGATTGCAGTAATAACTAGTATTCTGAAATATGAGTATTCATATGTCCATATTACCAAGCATTTGGGGTTTAAAAAATAGTGTTGTAATTCTTTTCAGATTTTCAGTTTCGTTGTGGCTTTGTTCATATCTGAAACACAACAAAAAACAACCTTCTAGCACGTGTTTTAGCCTGTCCTCTGTCTGGACCTAATACAGAAACAGTAGATCATTAATGTTTCTTTCATATTTAAATTAAGAACATGTACAAAGATTTTATATAACTGTGATATTTTGTTAGATAGCAGAACAGCAGGTTGAGAAAGATTAGGAACAGGAAAGGATTCTGTACTCTTGTGTTTTCACTCAAGAGTAATTTTGTGCCGGAACAACTCAGAACAGCATACCTCAACATGTTTTGACTTCTTGTCTACAAACCACACCAAAACGTCACTTCAGATCACAAGCAGAATTTATGATGTTCCAGCACCTCCTTCTCCAGAAAATTAGTTATGTTTTCACTTAAGTCTTTGAGTTCCTCCTTCATGTCTATGAAGATAGGCTAGCAATCCTAATTTCCTTGGGCCTCAGTGGTCATTCTTGATGATTTATTATTTTTCTCTCTGAAGTAAGAGAAGATATTAGACTCCTTTTGTTGCAGAATCTTTTTTTTTTTAATATAGAGTTGGATTTTCAACTGTTAATTAGACCTGAAAGTGTTTGACAAAGAGTGATCCTATCACAGACAATCTCTTTTCCCATGCTTAGACCTCCATGGAAGCGTCCACAGTCAGAGTTTGTTGTGTGAGGCCGCAGAAGAGGACTGTGTAACACTACCCAATATAGAGAGATGGGCTGAGAATTTAGTTTTCTGCTGAATGATTCTCAGTAACGACAAAATCTTCACCTCGAATGAAAAAAATATCGAATCTTAAAAGCAGTGAATATGTAGAAGATTCCCTTATCTGAGTAGACTTGTGAGAGTCAAATGATTTCATAGAACAGTTGCTTTGTTATGAATACTTTTAAACTCCATTTTCACCCTTTTGTAATATTTTCACACTAAAATCATACTGCTGTTTTGCCCACCTTCAGGAATTCTCAGTGGATTCATTATGACATGCGAAAAACCTTACCAGAATAAAAAAACCCTTTGTATAAACTACTTAAACAATGTTTTCATTTAATTTAATTGAATGTGGAAGTAAAATACTCAGAGATAATATGTTCATTTTTATCTGTCACACAAAGAGCAAGTTTAGATGTGATGAAATGGATCCAATTACTTGTCCTGGCTACTAGATAAACAGAAGAAAACCTCTGATGACATTAGTTGGTGTTCTGTTCCCAAAGTTAATTTCAGAAAGCTCTTTCTCTTTGTAGTCAGACCTTTAATCCTTCATAGAGGTTATAATAATAGCTAAACCAGTTTTACAGGTCTGAGAAATAGCAGCACGTTGATTTATTGTGAGCTGTTATAAATTATCATTTTGTCTTGTCCCATTAAAGTCTCTCAATTTTATTGCATATAGACTTGTAGCAGATTGGCTATTTTCTGATTGTTATTGCAAACTGCATAGAAGATAAGGTTAATATTTCAAGGTTATTAATATTTCTGGTTTAGGTGGCTGAATCTTTTTGCTTAATCTTATATATATACATACATATATATATATATATACACACACACTTTGAAGGAGTATTCATGGTCATTAATATTTATTTACATCCTCTTCTTGATATATAGAATAAGTATTTGAGTAAAGAATAATTTAAACTTTGGGGAAAATATATACATGATAATTTGAGGAAAGTGAATAATTATTGAAAATAAACTGCTAAATAACATTTACTATTTATTCAACATTTGTATGCCTGTTGTAACATTTTTTTTAAAGCTCTTTCCAGACTGTTTTAGGTCTTTGGCCTTTGAGATTTCTTTTATTCAGATCACCTGGGCTATTTTATTATTTTTATTTTATTTTTATTTCCTTTTTTTTAACGCACTTTTGGAACTGAACTGTTTTAAGAGACAATTAAAGGGCTTAATGAGCAGAGTGAAATATACCTATCAAAGAGCCATGAATATTGCATAAGTGAATAGCAATGACAGTGCTAATATCACAAACCAGACACATACAGCTCCAGGATACTTTAGAATGGGAGCAAAGCCAAGGACTAAGTTAGAGCCACGGTCTTTGTGGATATCCATTGTCTACAATTTGTCCTTATTTTGAAGTTTTAATTTTTCCTAGTTTTATGAAAGGCATCATGTTTGTCAGAAACCCTTTGTGCTGTACAGGCCACAGGTCCAATGAGGAGCCTTCTTTCCAAAGACTCTTGATCGAGGCTTGTCAGGCGTAAGCAATCCCAGCCCTGGTGTTCCTTGCAGTGCACCAAAGTGAGAAGAATGTGAATATGGTTTTCAACTTCCTTTAGAAACCACACTCATTTAAATTTCCAGGCCACTGTTTATCTCTGCATTGCTCTGGATGCTGTCCTCCTGATGCTGGGGAGCTGCTGCAGGCAACACCCCTGCAAGAAAGAGGAAGTACAGCCCCTGTGGCACTTGCAGTATTAAGACAGAGTTGAAGGAGCTTCATTAGGGAGAATGGAGCTGACACAGAGGCTGGTGGGAGAGAGAGGCACCTCTGTGTGCATTGAGGTACAGAAAAGTGTAGCTCTTTAGTATGAATTTGTGGACCTCCTGGAAAATGTAAACCAATACTGTAGTTCCCTTTTGCACTACTTTTATTTTTCAAGGTTGCATCTTCATCAAAAGAGCTGACAGCTGTTGTTAGATCAGCTGGAGTATTACATGGTGATATTAAGGAGTCTTGCATTTATTGTGATTATGATCAATATTTTCTTTTTAAGGTAAAAGTAGGGAATGACATTACTACTGGAACAGGCCCAAACAAGAAAATAGCTAAAAGAAATGCAGCAGAAGCAATGTTGCTACAGCTGGGTTACAAAGCCTCTACTCCTCTTCAAGACCAGCAAGAAAAGGTGAGAGCCAGTTGTCATGATGCCCACATTTTACCCTTGTCTGTAGTTTCAAGCTGTATCAGTTAATCACTTAGTAAGAAGAGGAGCTTAAACTTGTGCACCCCCTGTTTTAGGGGGTTGCTTGTCATAGATTAGCCTTTGTTTAGCTACAGCTCTATAGCTACACTTAGTAGTAAGTGCAGCCTCCACTCCTGTAAGAGTAATTAAGAATAGAAATGTAGTTCCATAGAATAGTGTGTGTGCAAAAGTGTACATGTGATGCATGCACCTATTTCTACTTACAAATCAGGGTGAATGTGCCTCTTGCTCTTATTCCATTTTGGGCGTCCATGAGAGCACTGAAAGGAATAATTTTCATACATGAAGTAGCTACAGTAGTCAATATTTATCTTCCCATTGCATGTGCACTAAAAGCATTCCAGAAAAATAATGGCCTTTTCATATTTAATGACTGATAAAGAAAATGTGTGTCACTTTTTTTTTTTATGGAGAAGGAATTGCATTTTAAATTCATATGTGTTTGCAGGTATGTATTTCCATGTTAGCTATGTGTAACTTAGCACTGCTCTCCTGTCTTGAGTTTATTGATGGGGAGTTTTGTAACCAAAATTGGGTGTTAAGGTTTTGTCTTTTCTATCCTGAAAATTTGTTTCGTAAGGTATTTGATTCAGCTGTGGACTCTGAACAGCTTCTCTCATATGCACAGTCTCTGCATGTGTATATTTTGATCATGTGTCAAATGTTAGCTGCAGGTGCACAGCTAGCTCAGGTCAACAGGGTGTTCTGCTGGGCTTTTCTAGGGACCACATGATAACTCTGAATATAGTATATATATATTCTGAAACACTCTTTGTTTTTCTTTT